GTTGGGAGCGCAGTGTTTCTCCCTCACAGGGCACCTCCACTCGCGGTCAAAACCGCGGCTGTCCGAGCCCCGGCGTGAGGGTTTCGGGGGAGGGTTTGGGCTCCAGCCTCGCCTTTCTGGCCCTGCGTTGCACCCCGGCCGTTTTTTTTTTTCCCCTGAGGGGTGTATGTGCTATGAGGCAATAAAACGGGGGGGTGTGGGAGGGAAGGAAGGGGCCTAGACACCGATAGCTACTTGTCTGCTGTTGGGAAACCGGAAAGGAGCAAATACGAAGGACAGGCAGAGCCGTGCAAGCTGTAGTCAGGTATCCGGGTTCAAGCCCTGCTACCCCTCTGAAAGGCTATAGTGCCGTTGAAAAACCTGCATTCAGTTCAAAAGTAGTTCCTTAGTGAATTTTACATTTTTGTAATGCTTCGACGGTGTAACTGTGCAGAGGGTAGTTTTGCTATATTAGTTTTACTGTGGAGAACGTTATCATTAAAAAGTTATGACACAAGTTCAACTCTGTATTTACTGAGTAAAAATAGGTTTCCTTTCACCACCGTTGCCTCTGGAAGATGTTGGCATTTACACTGACAGTAAAAGAGAAGAATTACCGTTCCAACTGCTTTTCTCTCCCTCACTGTGCTGAGTGATTCTGAGGGTGATGATAAAATGATGAGATTAAGACTTGAAGGGAATAATCTTGTCATTTTTTGAACAGCAGAGAGAAGAAAAACTTCAGTTTCAGACAGAATTTGACTGTGCTGTACAAGGCTGGAGGTGTTTAGTTATACCAGCAGATCACAGTGTCTGGTTGTCTCATACATTTAGTTTGATTTTTTCACCATTCCTTTAGGGGGCTGGCGTTTTTTAGCCTTAATTTCAGCTTGAAAACGCTTCTGGTAATAAAAAATGTTAGTGACATCTGATGAAACCCGTGTGCTATAAAAGTGTTCAAAAAAAGGGGGTGGGAACAGAACAAGCTGTTTCAAATAATACTTCAGTTTTGTAAGACATTTTTCAGCCGACTTGTTACCCCAGTTCATGCGTCTGTTTCTCTTGATGACATGTTTCAGAAGATGTTGTCTCGAAAGATGATGTGCATTTCTGATGTCGTTCTTTGATGTTATTTTTCCAAAGGGGGCTGCCTGAAAGCTATCGGTCTTGTAACATTTACTGACGTACATTCACAAATCTGTTGTTTGTTAAGCTGCTATTTCCTTTGAAGGCTATGAAGTTCATTTTTATCCCGATTTATTCTGGAATTGGGTTCCGCAGCATGAGGTTATTGAGAAAATCTAATTACTTCACAGGTTGGTGGTGCCATTGTTCTAAGTACATTTCAAAGGAGACTGCAGAAGCTGGGAGATAACCAACAATAAATACCAGATATGCATAAGTGAACTAAAACTAAGGTGTATCAATTTGTGTTGCCTGGAGGTAGATGCTGTTCTGATCAGCAGTGAGACCACTCACTCATCCAGTTGCTCATTTGACTATATCTGAGACAAAGGGAACATACTATTTAAAATCATTAGATAGTTTATTTGTCAATATAGCAGTCAGGTACCATTGTATAAAGCCAAAGGTGTATGAATTGGAAGTTACACCTGAAAAGGCAAAATCAAATTGTAAAAATGTAATATTCTAACATGATATTTAAAGGAAGATAACGCAAGCTATTCTGTATACTTCGGTTGAAGGACAAAGAAAACCTTAAAGTATGGATGAAAGCTAGTTTCTAACAATAGCATAAGATGTCGCCTTGCTTCTGTTTAATATATAGCCTGCATCATGACTGATGCTAAGCATTACAGCTGCGGTAGACCTACTTTTTTCACACTGCGTTACAGGTAATCCTGAGCTTTTGACTAAGTCCCTGTCAAGCATCAAGCTGGAGCAACACGTACAAACTACACTCCCTCCTATCTTCGGTCTGACTGATAACAAGAGGCCATAAAATTCCGATACTTTCTGCAGGAAAATGCTTTTTATGTTTAAGTCAGAGAATAGTTTTAGATGCCCAGTCATGGTTAGATAATAGGATGAATGGTTATGTATATAGACGGCAGAATAATGGTCAGTGTGGTGCTTTTAAAAATATATATCTGAAATGGCCACAAAAGACTTAAAATAATCGGAGAACCTAGAAACAAAAGAAGAAAGGAAGCTACTGAATTTTATAACTAGAGAACCACTCTCACAGGTATGTCACAATGTGAACTTTTTATATTCTCAGACTATTTAAAGGTCTCCATGCACACTAGGGAAATGGTAGCAAAGACTCCATTCAGATTGCAAATGGAGAGCATTTGACAGGTCTACTAAGACATCAATAAAATGCGTTTATGCTTAAATATCTGCTCATGAACTGAGAGCCATATGTATCAGAGATGTTTCAAGTTACAGTAAATAAGCTAAATATATTGAAATGCAGCTCTTCAATGGATTCGGTGTTTAGAAATGGGTTATGTGAAGTCCCCCCCCAGCTTCCAGCTAAAAGTTAATTTCATCTGGAGTATAAACTTCAATGTTAACAGAAAGACTCCTATGGAAAATGGACCATTTAAAGCATTTTGGTCTGTTTTTCTTGTCTCAGTGAACCTTTATAAGAACCTCTTCCCTTCCACAAATAAGAGCTCTCCTATTCATATCATCCAATGATCCAGCCTTCAGCAATTTGCTTCTAGTCTTCCACTCTAAAACCCAACAGTACCAAATTATGAGACTCTATGGCTAGAAGACCAGATCACTTGAGAAAGGCCCCAACACGAGTTTTGTTAACACAAAACTGCAGCTACACTGAACGAGCAAAGGCGCATTGATTTTGTAGAGTTTTACAGTTTCTAAGCTGAATCATGCAAAAGCAGAAACTGGAGCATATTGTTTCATTTACCATGGGACTAAGTAGTCAAAGTGAGAGTGGATGGAGAAACAAGCGGAAACCAGTGTCTCTTCACAGCATGAGATAAATGGAAAGAGAAGGGAAAAAACACACTCTGCTCTGGGAGTCAAATGCTAATGCTGTTAGGACCCTCATTCTGCTGACGCTTGTTCTTGGATAACAACATGTTTGCTCTCTGGGGAGTGGTGGTGCCAATCCAATGTCTCAAGACCAGTGGAAACAACAGGAAACAAAGCCATCTAGATACAATCGACAATTGCATGTAGAAATTTTACGTGGGACTCGGACTAAAAGTTTAGGCTGGGGAGAGCCATGCAGGTGGGCCTTATCAATCTGTTGTTTGGGTGTCCATGATCTAGATTATAATGAGACTTGTATGTTACTTCCCACAGCGATGTCTACAGTCCAAACTGAATGTGTCCAACCCTGTTTTATGGCCCTGAGGCAAATTGGCAGGTGATGAGTTGCTTCCATGCTGTTACACTCCATCACCCTGCAAAGCTGAGCGGCTGCTGCCAAACTGCCTATTGGGAATAGCACCTCTAGTAGTTCCCAAATTGAAGCTGGGAATTGCTTTGTGTGTTGGCCTGGGGAAAGACTGCTAGGACCTTTCTGACAGTGTAATAGTATACGTGGTTGGGTGCCAATGCCTGGGAATATATCATGGTAGTGTTTCCTTCACAGACATAACCTGTGCCTACCCACCCCGTACCTTTCTTCCTAGCAAAGGCATGTATCCTGCCAGGGCAGTAAGCAGCTACACTGAACTGTATATTTAAGATTTAATATTTACAAGTTAAAAAAACAACAAAAACCCTAATCTTTTTTCCTCTGGATTACAGATCTGATTAATTTTACAAGTAATTCGCCTAGAAGTAAGAAAAGAGATAAGAACTGAGGTCTTACTTATTTAGTAGAGTGTATCCCAGATAACAAGCAAGAACAACAGGTGCTCAAACTACCTCATTCTTTTCTAAGGACTATTTCATACTTCTAATTGCACCAAGCCCCCAAAAGTTATCAACCAATCTATATGTGTTTTCACCTTACCCTCTTATTTTTAACATGAAAAAAAATCCAAAGTACAGTTCAGATATGAGTCCTGTACTTAATATAATAGTCAATCTTAGACTAAAGATTTAAACAATGCCTGGCTTGCTTTTCAGCAGAGGATCTTTCTCATTGCTCGTAGGGAAGAAAATGGCTTTGAAACTGCTGAAGTAAGCGCTCAGTCCCTCTTGGTTCTCTGCTTGTCCTGGACTTCTCTCAATAGGTTTGTACTGTTTGTATCTCCTGCAAGGAATGTGTATAGTTAGTTGCTGAAAGACACTTAAATGAAGGTCTACCCTTAGCATGTAACCAGTACATACGAGAATTAATCATGCATTCATAATATATGTTCTTTCTCCTTTTTCCCCCTTCAATCCCATACAACAGTAACTGCCATAGATTAGTCGTGACTAAGGCCTGGTTAAGGAGAAGGCTCTGTTGCTTAGAGGAGTACCCTTGCTCTGTGGAGGTGTTTTCTTTCTCACCGCTGACTGTGAAGGGTGAGCATGCTTCTAACTGAGGAGCCTCCGTGTACTCTTCAAGTCTGGTGAGAAACAACCAAGCTAATACTGCAATAACATATACTTCAGTTAACTACTTTCCTGCATGCCCGGTGCCCTTTCTGCAGTGAATTTATTTTTCAGTTATTTAATGACGAATTTTGATGATGAATACTTGGTCTGTCAGTCATTCTTAAACGCTGCTTGTACAAATTCTGAAGCTAAATTAAATTTTTGTTGCTTAGCTCTGACCGTACATGTAAATCACCTGGTGCAGTTTGAGTTTGATTACTGGCTGGATGCATTTCCAGGCTTTATAGTATTAGTATTTGTGCTTACGAACACAACATATAATCTGCTATGAAATTCTTTAATATTTGCATGTTTTTGACGGTTTTGTGGTTTAAGTAATGAGTAAACTCATTACTCACCCATTTTCTTGGGTGTTTGCCAGAATATTTGTGAACAGCAATACAAAAGAAACAAAAATACAGCTAAAGCAAATTCAGGTTGTTGGTTTTGTTAATTTAAATTAATATTTTTGTCAGTTCCCTCAACTATTATTAATCCTAGAAGCCAGCAACTTACTTGTAGAGGACAAAAGCCACAATGACGACAAACACTGCCAGCAAACCAAGGAAGATAAAGACACCTTCTGTTGCTCCTGAGGATGATCCTAGATTTCAAAAAGTAGATTTGATTATAAGATTACTCTCATTTTTACAGTGAGATGGATTTTTCCAAATAAAATGTCATTTTTGCCAGGTTGCTTTACAAACTGAGATGCACTTAGTACACCAAACATGCTAAGCACTGGAGGTGGCAGGATGTGGTGCTCTCACAGCCTAAGCAGTTTAATTTTCAGTGCCAGCAGATTGTGAGTTGGGCTTTGGCAGTTTTACATATGAGCTATGTTCCTGAAAACACACAGTTGTCCTTTCAGTATGAAGAGAACAGGGGGTCTTACTGACACCACACAAGGTGGAGCTAATTTGCTCCTTGCCTGATTGCTATGCTAGGGGACCGCTTATACTGACAGTATAAAATGCATGATCTCTTTATAAGGTGTAGTGTAAGAATTATCATCACTTTCCTGTCTTAGGGATGACAGCTGGGGGAAGGAAAGAAGGGATTAAAACAAAAGAAATTTCTGAAGCGTTATTGTTTGTTTCAGCCTCACATCCTAACCCAGGGTTAGGATGGACCCAGGGTTTGTTTGCCTTACTCTTTTAAAGAGCGAGGGGCTCTGCTTTTGTAACATTCTCATTATGGGAAATCAACTCTGGACTCTGCTTGTCACTGAACTCTGCCTTCTGGTTTGTCATTGATCATTTCACTCATGGCTACTCCTACTTCCATCATATCTGAGGGAAGAAGAGGCTGAATCAATACAAGTGTTTTCTTGATTTATGTTAAATATTGTAATTTTCCGGTCCACATCAATCTGTGGATTGATCCACAGATTGGATCCACAAGGCTGTACATCAATCCATTTACTGATGTTATTGACATTGAGATACATTCTTGGTCCTCATGTTAATAGTGTTTATACAATGAAGTAATCTAGAGAGGCGTGTTGATTTACCTTTCCAGTTTATTCATTTATAATTGCTATATATTAAAATCAAGATATCCATTTTTGGGTTTACCATTTACTTCGTACATGTGCCTCATGCATTTTTCAGTTTGTTGATACAATTTTTGTGAAGGCTTGACAACAGTCCTAGTTTACGCAGTATTTTTGTTGATACTCTAGGGATTTTACATTATTTTATGAATCATGTAGGTCCTTGAATTAGTCTGCAAAACACCACACACCTATGGGGCAGGTATAAATCATAGGAGTGCAGCCCCTACCACAGTTTAAACAGGTTAAGAGACAATATTTTGCATAGTGCCCACATAACCCAGGTACAGTCTGCCAAACGTCAAAGGCCAGATGTTTAGGTATACTCAGGCACCAAATGATGAGATTTTCGGATGTTCATAAATACTTGCTTTCCCTTGAAATGAGTGGAGAATAATGGTACGTGGGAGATGTTTACAAATGCTAGATGGGCTTCTGTGGAATTCATAGCAGCAACTTCTCTTAGATTCTAATTCTACTTTGATTATAGTGGAAGCCCCAAAGTACAGTTTAGCTTTGCTCCTGGTAGACACCTAGGCAGACCAGCCCTGTTGGGCTAAAATCAACTTCTGTGAATACATTTTCAAGAAATCCTACTATATGCTTATTTGCATTTTCAGGAGCCTAAACACACTTACTGGTTGGGTAGAGTGCCATAATCATCATAGACTGATTTAGGTGCAGTTAAGTTTACACCTAGATTAAATAAAATCAGCTGAAAATGCTGTAGCAAATGACTACAAAGGATCAGCCTCTTGGCTAAGGTTGATGAAAGAATGCAGTAGAGTCACCAGGATGTTGAGGTGGGAGGTCAGTGGGGCAATGGACTGGGAACAGAGAGACAGTATTATCGGTTACAGTTCTCACTGAGTCTGAGGTTAATACCTGGTTCTGTCAGAGACTGCTTGGATAATCATGAGCAAGACATGGTGAGATTCATCTAACCAAAGGTAAACTATCTATTCTGAAATGGTCACCTTGTGCACGCTTTGCAGTCAGTGAATGACACAGGCCTTTCCAGAACCTGATTCATCTTATGCTAATGTAGAAACAGAGACCTAGTCAAGATCAGTGGCTTATAAAGAGGGCCCAAGACAGCCGGCTCAGTTGTAGGCTACGATTCTGTCTCTTGTGAGCCCAATTCCTCTCTTAGTTTCTCAGCGTTGGAGTTCTCTGTGTGTGAAGTGGGCGGGCTGCCACTTCCCCCACCTACTTTTCTGCCTAACAGAGTTGTTCTGTGGAAAAATATATTACAGCTTAACAGCTGTTGGTATTCTTTGATACTGAAGGGTTTGTTATAATTACCATACTCATTGGATCATGCACAGAAACCAAACCAAGTTCTAACATCTGAAATTCCCAGAGGGAAAGGATCATCTGTTATCTTTGTGTGGACTCACACAACCTGGCAGTCTCGGGTGAGGCCTCTAGCACACTCAAACCCACATATACGTGCCTGTGATCTCACCCCCTCCCCAGGGAAATGACCACAAGGAGAAGCTATTCAGAGATCATCCACACCTGCTCTGTGCACACTCACCTCCATTTACAGATATAAGTGCACTTGCAAGGGCTTGACTTGTGTCATCTCCTAAGGTGATGTTTACACAGTATGTTCCAGGTTCATCAAAAGCTCTCCGTATGGTGAGTAGGCATTCGTTAGTGATGGTAATGGGGTCACATACCACGCTCTGAGCCACCTGGCATGTGGGGTCAGAAACTACTGTACAGACATCTGTAGGAAGACTGGGATGGGAAGAGAGAACACAGTATGTGTGGAGTCCTGTTAGCCCAATTTACAGACACTTTGCACTGATGCCTCAGTTTTATGCTGATGCCTGTTTGCTGGAAACAGTGATGTTATATTGATTTAAAAGAGCATTGTATTAATATTTTTCTGTATTTTATACATACCTAAATATCTTAGATGCACACAGATTTTATATAAAATGCATACATAAAATCTTCCATAAAATCATCTTGTTTCACATATCATTTAACACTTTATGGTGGTTACAGTTAGCTACCATAAATCAGTTTATAAAGTCTGCAGTAAAATTGGCATGCTAATTTTAGAAAGATTAACTGTTTTCCAATTGCATTATCAAGATAATCAAGATTCTTGTACCTCTCAGTTATCTTAATTCAAATCCCCTTCTAGGAGGTAGGGATATTAATGCAAGGTTTCCCGCCTGAGGAATTGCTTGGACACACCGACTTTGAACATCAAAATATCATGGCCAGAAAGAAAGGATTTCCTTCCAATTTCAGTAGACTGCTTCCTGTTTTACAGTGAGTGCTGAAATCCTGTCTTTGCCAAGAAAATATAAAATTGCTACTACCCACTTATCTAGTTCTCTTATTTTTACCTAGGCATGACATTTGTTCTGAATCCTAAGAGCCTAGCAATAACCTCTGCTAACACAGTTTACAAGTGAGACTTACACTATCTTTAGTTTCAGTCAGGAAATAGAAATGCTGAAGTTCCCAGCTTTTGTTCATGCAACTGCATCTAAGTGCAACCAGCATTCCAGCACCTAACTATTTTTAAAGCGATTGACAGTTTCATTTACACACTTACCTCCCTTGGCAGGTAACAACAAAGTCAACCACTGAGTTTTCAGCTTGACTTTCTGTCATCTGGATGTTTGTCATCTGAATGATATTTACCTCAAGGATTCCCTCTGGAAGAGAAAACAGATGTCAAGGGCAGGACATATGATAAGCTCTGAAGTGCTTGCGTGCAGAACCTCAAGTGTTTGGCTGATGCTCAGCTCAGGTCTTGTTTTCCATAACCTTCTTTCTCCCTTAGCACTCCTTTGGAAGGGTTTGAAAACAGAAATGTTCCAGTGTTTTTCTTATGAGATTGTTCCCTTCTGTTTTGCTCCTTTTTTTCTTTCTTAAAAAAAACCCCTCACCTAGACTTGACTACAAAATCACCTCTGCCTCCTGCTAGCCAGGACTTCTGTGTGTACTAGGTCAACTCAACCTTATGCGACCTCTCAGATCAGTGTGTTTCAGATGTGCCAGTTTCTGAAGCTGACGGTATAGAAGAGAACGATATGGCTTACATTCCTGTCAGCTGTTTCCCAGTGCAAAGGACTGGAAACCTGTCTGTAGCACAGGGGCAGCCATTGGCAGGAGTCCGGAGCAAGGCCCACACTCACATATCTGGAACCAACACACCATAACCTCTGCTGCTGGATCCTGGGAGTGTGTGTGGTAGGTGTGCACCAACTTTTAAAAATTCAGCTAGGTCCAAGAGAGAAGGATCTTTTTGTAGGTCACAAAAGAGAGGCTAAATAAGTATTTTCGCAACCGTACATGTATTACATTATTAGCCCCATTACTCTGTTGAGGTGTTGACTCAGGTCCTTACCTACAATAGAAATACCAGTCCTGTAATATCCATATCTGTAAATATGGCAGCCTCCATCAGGATTGTCTCCCGTTGTCTTGACAGCAGTAGAAGAGTCTGAATTAGAAAGATGGTTCAATGGTTACTGCTGGGTTGGGTAGGGAAAAATAGATGCGCAGCTTAGAACAAGTTCTGCTTAGAGGTATTCTGAACATGGCCATGTCTTTCACCTAGATTCATTACATATGTCTTTAGTTATTTTGCTCTACAGCTATGCAGTATGGGATCAAGGTAGAAGCTTAAAGAAAACAAATGTGCCCTGTTGTTCTGTGGAACCCAAGAGTGGCTGGAATTTCAGATTCTTTGGCTTGGATAGCCTCACTCCAAAAGCCACCTCACTCCGAAGGCCACCATGCTAGTCTCTAAGAAATAAAAGTGAGATTACAAGGTTTAGTATAATTAAAAAACTTCTTTAACATTCCCAGACCAATCATAGAATAAATCCAAATGCCAATAAAAGCTTTAAAATGCTCTCTGTAAAATTAGATATTTTTCTATTGCTCTACGTTAGTGTTAGTTGAAAAATGAAGAGGGAAAGTGATGAAACTGATATCTTTCCCTTTTCATTCTCATTTAACATTTTGTTAAAAGCACATATTAAAGTTCTGAAATTTGAAAACCGTGGCCACATTTACAATTTAATAGTAGTACCCAGGCTGAAGTTGCACATCTTTGGCAGACCTTAAAATTCTTTGAGATGATAAGCCAGTACTGAACATAACGAAAATTATTCTGAAATACGATAGTGCATAAATTTAAAGTGGAAAAGGCATTCTGGGTTAATGCTATGTGGAAATCCCGTATTTTGGAATAAGAGTGACTTTTTTTCTAGTTCAATCCAATCTCATTAAATTTTGGGTAGAGATTAGTGAAAATTAGGAAGGATCCGGCTCTAAGAGCGTTCATTCAGGCAGCTATTGTGAAATACCTCTCTCTCAGTTTAAATTTATATCTTACCTCTGGAAATGTCCCTGAATAGGCAAGGCTAACACTCTTTGATCTTTCATAGGAAAGGAGCTAAAAAGGAATGCCTCCCCCTGAGGATGCTGTTATGCTGTCATCATTGTGGTAGAATTTGGTTTAGTAAAAATGAGAATTAGGTTCTTATATATATATAGTATATATATTAGGTTCTTAAATATATAGCTGATGCCTATGTGTTTATTGATTTTCTCTCTAAACTACATTTATAGAACATTTGCAGAGTTCTGCAGCTCTTACTTTGATGGCATACAACTTTTAAAGGTATGTACTTAAAATTCTAAATTCTGGGGTTTTTTAGCATTTCTGCTGACCCAGTATCACTGCTGATTGATGAACTCTTACCTGCTGAGGTGGGCAGTGGTGGAGTGGGTGTTACTGGTGTGCAAGGTACAGGTATAATAGCTTGGACAGTTAAATTCAGAGTGAAGTTTCCTTGCAGAGTGTAGGTGTGGGGTGTAATGGAGCTGCTTGATACAAATAAGCCACTTCCGTCTCCAAAGTCCCACTTGTAGGTGATGACAGAATTATTAAGATAGTAACTGGGATCATGGATCTTCACATCAAATGTGATTGGTGAGTCTTTGATAAAGATAGAGTCTGAAATGTTGCGGTCATTTTTCTGCGATATGTTCACAAATAATGGAATTTTGTCTGCAAGAAAAAAGGAGGAAAACAAAGCGAGAGTATCTGTCTGCAAACAGCTCCAAACTTCCTGAACAGCAACAGTCGGAATGTAAGACATTAATATCTGTAACATGGGTTTGTACTTTAATTCAGTGTACTGAATGAATGTCAATAGGAAACAGTAGTAACACAGAGGAGTATGGGAACTTATAAGGAATCGCAAGCATCTGTTGGAAACCACATTTCCTCTAGTAAATCATTTTTCATCACAAAGTAGAAGTGTTACGACTGAGGTGGATACAGAGGTACGTTATGTTATTCAAGGCAATTTGCCAGAGATTTCACATCCGTATTAAAAACCTGTCTTGGGCCAATGCCTTCTTTTCTTCCCAGATAGTGCTCGTGTTGAATTCTTGTAACACCTACACATCAAATACCTCCAGTATTTTATTACAGTTTATTTCGGCACGCTCACCTGTTACAACATAAGTGCTACTTGCTCTTGCAATTGGAACATATGTTGAGTGCCCTCTCCTGTAAATGGATACCTCCATCACGTGTTTGCCAAGAGTGATATTTGCCGTGTTGATTGAAACAATTGTTGAAAAGCGTCCCTTTTTTTGATAGTACTGACCTGAAACAGAACATGAACATAAAATGTTTTACCCTTAAGGCTAGCTACGGGAAATTGTTTTAAGATGACCAATGTCTCTGTGAATCTTGGATTGGGTACATCATAATAAAAGTTTAGAGTCGTCTTTCAGTTTTCTAACAGGTCCTTTTGGAGCACTGAGTACTTGCCCAAGGTGATTACTCCCATTATTCTTGAGGGTTTTTTTTCAAAGGTGTCAGAAAGATGTCCTAAATTTCGTTGATCTAAGAAAAGGCGTTTGCAAGGCGTCTACATCTTTCCAAAGCAATTACAGTATATTAAGTTATCAAGATTATGTAGTGAACAGCATTACCTCTTAGGCATTTTAAATTAACTTGCATCTGTATGCCTTCAGTATACCAAAAAAGTATAATACTTCTTGCTTCATACACCAGAGCCCTTTATATGCATTTACTTACTTATCTTTGTAACAGCTGATTGAGGTAGGTAAATAGTATCAGCTTTATTTAAAATTGAGGGCATTATTACTATTACTGATGCTTACACTGATGCTGTCAAGCTAAATTAGGATATTCAGATTTAGTATGTAGCCAGTGTCAGAAACAGCCCAACCATTACATGCTCAGGAGCTGGAAACACTAAAAACTAGCATCTGTGACTAGAAGAGGACCACGCAGTCAATGGCAGTTTTCACCTTCTTCCCAGAGGCAAAAAGTGCTGTACTGTTAAACTAGTCTGCAGATTTACAGCTCTGTGGTCTCTCTTTCAAGAATCAGAAGTGGCAGCAGCAGCTGGTTAACAAATCGTCTGGCCGACCTGCTCAGACCCTCTGTTTTCCTAGAAAACTATCATCTTGACCACTACTGAAATTAATTTTCTACGGTTGTAGTTCTCTGAATGCATAACATTAAAGAAAATCTCCTGGTAATACATGATTATCAAATCTTGCAGAAGATTACTGCTCTCTCTGAAAAGCTCTGAAGGAATTCAGGAGTCTCACTCAAGAACTGTGGAATACCTTTTAAGAACTTGTAATGAAAGATATTAGAAACATGAGTTAATATACAAAGTGAACGTAAGCTTTACAAGCATCAACCCCACCAAGGTATGTTTTGCAGTACTAACCGAATGTATGAAATAGATAGACAAAGTTTCTCCTCTTCCAGTCAGGATGATGAGGGAAAGGTCTCCCGTCTGGGAATACATTATGGCTGGGGGTGGTTGAGCAGTTTTCCCAGCCACAGTTGTTGATCCATTTAGTCCAGTTGTAGACATACGGATCCTGCAAAGCTGGAGTATCTAAGAGCAGAAATAGGACATGCTCCTGGTCAGTTGTGAAATGTATGGTAAACTAAGAAACAGAATGCAGACACCGTAGGTCACAGCAGAATTATTGCCCTTAAGCAATGGGGTAAGTGGGGTATTCTAGACTGACATTTGGTTCATTTGGTCTTCTGAGATTGTTTTGTTTGCTTTTTTAAGATACAGTTTAAAGGTGCTTGCCCAAAACCTACTGTCAACTAGAGAGGACGCTACTATTTCACTGGAGCCAGTGGAGCCACCCTGACATTCCACAAGGAAAATTTAAATATTTAACTAGAAAAAGCAGCTGTGGAAGCACTGGCAGGGAGTGATTTATTTTGTTTTGTCAAAAAAATTTTCTATGGCACCTTTAAATAAGTTACACATGAACCACAGTAGCATTCTGAATAGTAAAAAGACAGTTCCTTCCCCAAAGGGTAAAATGAACGTTAAGTAGAGAATGGGTGTCAGCAGTTAATGAGACATTAGACAGTGGGAAAAAATAGAACTTAAGCTGAAAAAAATCTTTGTTGATGTCCCTTGAGATGGAAATTACTTTGGTCAGCAGAAACATTTGTTGAACATTTATGAATTCAGAGGAAGAAAGGTACAATAGCCTGTTTCACTCAAGATCCAGTAACTTCAAACATCAGAATTGTGATGTTTTTTGCTCCTTGAAGCATGTAAAGATGATCAAAAAAGGTGATGCTCTGGTGAAAAGACTGGTTGTTTTCATAAGATTTATTCTCCTCATTACTTTTTATTCTTGAAATATGGGAATGTGAAATTTACTCTTTCTTGAGAGTTTTCAGGACACAGAAGACTCTTACTGTTTCTACAACATGTAATTGAAAAAAATCTCAATTGCATAAATTGTCAGTTTTATAAATTTGGAAGAAAACAGTGTGACTAAGTGATCAGTTGAACCTGTGTTCATCCAGGGATTGGGCAACCTTGTGAGTGAGCTGAAAAGCAATAACAGTATTTTTAGGAAGCAGAATTAAAGTCAGTATTTTGGAAAGCTAATTTTATAGTGAAGACAAATCTCCTTAAAGTGCCTGGCCATTATATGTAGCAGGGGCAGAAGTGTAAAAATAATACAACGATATTCTGAAGAATAGTGGTATGACACAGGCGAGACACTAGTACTAGCGCAGTTATCAGTTAAAAGCAACATAAATTTTGGTTACAGGTTGTGCTTCTGAAGATTTGAAAGATTTATGACACTTTCACACCAGAACAACAGTGAGATTCACGGACAGTACATGATGATTACCATTACCTACCCTGGGTACAGTTTCTCTCATATATTATGTTGCCATCGTTATCTTCTTTCTGGCACTTGGGAAACTGGAGAGTCACAACAAAGGTCACATTGGATCCTACCAGTGCTGGGCTATCAGTGACCATCTTGGCTGTCACCTTTCCTCCTGTAGAAAATAAAATTGAGACTTCACTGCAGTAAAGGACGCTTCATCGCAGCAGTTACCTTCAGCTGTGCACTATTTGCATTTGAAATCCTTTACTGACGCTTCCATTATTTCCAATGGGATTTGTCCTGCCAAGTCACTTTCGCGATTAGGAAAATCCCAGTTTACAACAATCAGTAAGAGGGATTCATCATTTCTGCCACAATCACTCACTGACCTGCCATTAATTTCCTTCTTACAACTGAGAATCAGATTTTTACCTATGGGGTCAATATATTCCAAAGGAGAGTATTTTTATTTCTCCCCAGGGGTACAGCCTTTAGACCTCAGCTCAGACAAGGAGGTGGTAAGCTGAGTCTTCACTGATGTTGTTCAACCGTTCTACCTTACTGGGGTAGAAGTTGAAGCTACCTCTCCCCTGGTGCATATTAAAAAAAAAAAAATCCTAGAGCGCTGCCTTTCAATACCTCTTAATATATGTTAATTTCTGACACTATGAATGACGGTAAAACATATACTGTAACAACTTACTAGTCTGCTTCCTCAGACAATGTGCTAAGAGTAGTATCCATGCCAATGGTCTCTAATTTATTATTACTTGCACTAGCTCTGGATATGTCATGGATGAAATAGCACTATAGCACCTGCACTCTTTGATGAGGTGGATTTTCTGGCCAATTTTTTCAATTTTTTGAAAAAATTCCCCCCTACGTTTTTTTTTGAATTGGGTATATGCAACTACCTTTCCAGCAGTCCTTCCATCTGGGATCTCCCTCTTCCCAGAAAGGATAAAGTTTTTCATTCCATTCATTTTGATCACTAGACCAGCCATGTAGCTTCTCATAGGACGTGACAGAAGTTGTTTCTTGGCTCAGCACATCTTGAAACCCTAGACAGAGAGAAATGAAGGTATAATGTCATAATATATTCCGTGTTACTCTGTCAAGACATTATTGTGCTGAACAGCCCACTTGTGATTGTGTTCTTGCACTAATTAGAAAACTCTTCACCAGTGGAAAGCTGTGGCTATATGGCTTCACAGCAGTAAACGCTTAAATCACCTACAACTAACACAAAGAAAATTCTGTCACTGATTTGTAGTTGCACTATTCCAGGCTTTCCAGAGAAAGAATTAAAAGTTTTACAACGTTTTTACCGTATCAGACCAAGTGTTCCTAGGGAATGGACACAGTCATGCAATAATCAGGCTTGTTGTAAAGAGGCTGCTTGATTGCTGACTCTTTCATGCCTGACTGGTAATCTATGACTAAAAGGGGAATAGGCTAAATTCACTCTGTGTCTAAGTTGTACTTTAGTGGAAGTTATGCTAAGAATGAATTTTGACCCACTCAGGCTTCTTTTGTGAATTGGCTGGTGGTTTGAATGGGAGTGGTTGAACCAACCTGAACAGAAGCTGGTATTTCCAGAAAAGGAAATGTAGAGCAGAATAGTAAATTTAATGTGTTTATGATATAACGACAAAAAGATGCTAACGTCATGCCTATTACTTTAAAATGGCTCAGGTTAAATAATTTTAATAACTTCTTTCTTCTCATTTTAGCACATGTGATTGATGGACTCAAACTTTTCCCAGGCCTTTTAGAATTCATCTTTCTGTCACAAAGTAGAGCGCTATGAGAAGCAAAATAAATAACCAAGTAACCTGTAGGAACATGTCAAACACTGTAGGATGCCAGAAAAATATGTTTGTAAGCAGGCTTATGGGCAGAATTCCATTAAGCCTTGAGGCTTTAAACAGCTCTGTCATGTTATTCAGGTGACTGCTGGGTGTGCCATTCTGTCATAACATCAAGGGAGTTAGGATGTCTTCTGCTTTTCATGTCTTTATTTTAAAGTTACCTGATGTTGGACACTTCTGTGATTTACATACAAATGCAACAAAAAGCTAGATGATTTCAAGGAGAGTGCAGAGCTCTGTAAGAAGGGCAGGAATGTCCCTGTGTGGTATTGCATAACCAACTATGTTGAGATTTCTCCAGGTTTTGGAAAAGGTACAGAGCAAATGTAGCCGGTCCAAGCTGCCGGAAAGGACATCCCTTCAGACAGGCCAATGCCCATCTTTCACAGTCAGTCCAAACTGGTGCTGTAAGCTCTCTCCCAAGCCTCTTGGGGCTTGAAGGCAGAAAGGTCTGAGGAAAAGAACAGATTTTGCACTCAGAGACATACACTCCCATGTTCTTTGCCCTACAGGAACTCCACACAATCTCACTTAAATCAAGCCTTTCCTGGAGATGTACTACATTGATATGAGCAAAGCACAACATTACAACAGACACTGCGACACACACGTTGCTCAATGGCCTGTGTCACATATTCTATCATTTTCAGTCTTGGTCAGAAGTAGAGTTCGGTAATATTATCCTTCGGAAATGTTTCACAGAAAAAAAAAAAAAGAGATTATAAAAATATTTCACAAAGGCTTATCAAGTTCAATTACATTTTATGACGAGAAATTAACGTGCAATCTTTTTGAAATTAAATGTTTGGGATTTTTCCTAATTATCCCGTTCTCCTTGATTTAACTTAAAAATCATTTAATGAATAAAAATGTTTTGATTTTGTCAGATCAAAACAATGGGTTCAGTCTTTTTTTTCCCCCCAAATGTTCAGTTCATCAAAAAGAGCAGGAAAACTTTTAATTTTTTAAAAGCTTTTAATTTTTAATTTTGAGTAACAATCTTTGAATTCAAAAGTCATTTTCTTGTCCAGCTTTGGTAATAACTGCGCTCACTGCTTCTAAAACACAAGTTCCTGAGGCATATGTCTGCCTCCCTGATGTGCTTTGTGTATTTCAATCAAATATAAAACATTTCACAAGCTTCAGCACAACAAGACAAAGACATTTCTTTCAGTCGAGCAAATATTTCAGCTCTAGCTTCTGTAACACAGGCAACTGAAGATTTTCAGTTGCTGAATTTAAAGGAATAAAGAGCTTTAATATGTTTCTTCTTTAACAATGGAAAGCATTCAAGAACAGGTGTTGGTCATAACCAAAATTAGGGCAATTTGGTTCAAAACAGAGTAATAATAGAATCTGAGGAAATGATTACTGTAATAGTTTTGGTGACGTGATCACAGGAGAAAAGACGTTATACTTGGACTGACTTTCTTCTTTCTCATTCTGGTTTTGTTTTTGGTGACAAATGAACAGAAAAGGAGTTCAGCATGTCAACGTTCCTAGCCACACATGGCTAGTGTGTTAACCATGAGAGAGAGAAAGAAAGAGCGTTAGAACAATAGTAATAAAAAGAAGACATAATGAAGAGAAAGATAAAAGAGAATCTCTGTCGAAACGTTGGTACAGAAAGTTATAGAACACATCAACAAAATGAAAACAGTTGTCTAGATCAGGTGGCTCTAATAGTACAGAAGTTATTCAAGCATGAAGTAAATAAGCTATTAACCATGGCATGTAACCTCTTGCTTAAAACTACTTCAGTGACTGAGAAACAAAAGGTGGCAAATGTGATGGCAATTTTAAAAAAAAGGGTTGTAGGAAAGATTTAGAGGACTACACAAAGTCTGATGCCCAGACTAGACAAGCCGGTAGAAACAACATTGGAGAACAGAATTAGCAGAGACTGTGGATTAATGTGATATGCTGTAAAATGCTGCAACTCATAACAAATCTTTCAGAGTTTCTCTGAGGGAGTCAGAGAGCATGTGAACAAGGCTGATCTGTTTGATATAGTCTACTTGAATTAGCAAGGTCCCCTGCTAAAGGCACATCAAGGAACTAAGTTACTAGGGGCTAAGAATGAAGGATGTCACATGAATAAATAATTGGTTAAGATATATCAACCAAAAGTTATGAAAATGGCCAGTTTGCTCAATTGTTGAAATAGTTTTAAAAGGTCATAAATAATCTGGAAAATGGGTAAATAATGATTTAGTCTGCTGAAGACAGCAACTTAGAGTAGTAGAGGGGAGGACTGACTGAACTGCAGGAAGACTATATGAGATTCAATGACTGGGCAATAAAACAGTATGAAGTTCAGCATAGTTAAATGTAACTTCAACTTTACTTACAAAATGAGGGGCTCTAAACCAGCTAGTGCCCCTAAGAAGTGAGATCTTGGAGCTTTACGGTTTTCAATACAGGGCTCAGTAGTAGTTGAAAAGCTAGGGAAAGGTTAGAAATAGAGAACAAAGACAAAAGTGTCATTATATCATTGTATAATTTCATGTGTGTTCGTGTCTTGAATACTGTACACTGCTCTGGTTTCTACAACTCAGGAAGAATATAACGACTGAAAAAATACAGAGAAAGGTGTTAAGGATGCTACAAAGGGATAGAATTGTTTCTGTACAAGGAGCAGCTAAATAAACTGGGTCTTGAGCCTACAGAAGAGGTAACAGAGAAGAATATAAAAACAGAATCATGAACAGCATGGAGGAAGAAGCAGTTATTCACTGTTTCTCAAAGTACAAAAGCTAAGGAGAATCAAATGAAACCCACAGGTTACGGTTTCTAAGCACATAAAGAATGATATTTCTTCATGTAAAGCACAGTTAATATCCTGGGTAAATACTAGTACGAGCTTGTCCAGTTATACATCCATTACTATTCCTCACTGGAGACAGGTAAAAGGCTAGACGGATACTCAGCCTGACCTCAGCTTTTAAGGTCTTCAACTCCTTCTTGGAGATCCTGGAACTTGAGGCCAAATTCCCATTTCTGTGTTCCTAGCTTTGAGGTCAGTCAGCCAACCTAAGATTGAGTCAAGCTGGGAGTCCTGGAAGAGGAGGACCAGCTCTGCACCTGCCCACCACCGCTTGAGGATCCAGTTCCTTGACTGGGCTCCTTGAGGTTTGGGATCCAAAGGCATGGGTGTCTCAGCTGAGAGTGCTGCCTCTTACCTGGCCTCTTCTAGCCACAGCTGAGCCGAGCAAACTATGAGAAGTGCATTCTACCTCTGCCTTTTTTGCTGTGCTTGAGCTGGGGAAAACTTGCTGGAAATTTGAGGAAATGAGCCGAAGCTTAGCTCCAGTCAACTCCCCGTGCGTCTGTGGAGCACAGGAAACAGATAACCGAACAGCTGCCTGCACTTTTCTCCAGCTCAAGTGACATTTCTACCTAGACCCAGGTAACCCTGAGATGGAGCAGCAGCCAGCTAGCTGCTGCCTACCAGTTCCTAAGCGTAGCTGCAGCAACTGCTGCACTTTGCAGTAGCAACATAGTTTTTACAGCACTATCTCAGGATGTTGAACCTGTAGATGTAGAGGAAGAGGAAAGGGGTGAAGCACTCACGTATGGCAGCAGTATACAGAACCGCTTCAGCCAGGAGCAGGAATCCGAGGTGGCAGCAAACTCCGCTCATGGTGTGAGAGACCGTGCGTCAGCTCAGCCTGCGCAGAGGAGCAGAGAATACCCAGTTCTTCCACACAGTAACTCCTTCAGTCTCTGCTGAGAAGTGAGAATAAAGTTTCTCTGCTGCTCTGCTCTCCAGTTAAATGAAGGGCCCCAGGACTCATCATGTGATGGAATTAAGCAGAGATGCATGATTTTGTCTTCAGCTTCTTTCAGCTCATGTGCTTATGACTCACTCCCCTTGCTTTCAGCATTCCCTGGGATTTCTGAGAGACCTGTTTAGAGCCACACCATTTACCTTGAAGCATTTTTGTACTAGTTTTGCACTGTGATCAATTTTTACTCTCATTTATTTTTAAATTAGAGCCATTTCTTTCTGCAAATCCAAATTAACTCTCACCTCACACTGATTTGCCACTGTTACTGCAACAGCTCATTGCATTTGATGATTGACCCGTCACTACTTTGTTAACCTCTTCATTAATGACCTAGATGCGAAAGAGTGCTACCTCAGCAAGTTTGCAGATGATACAAAACCGGGAGGAGTGGCTGATACACCAGAGGGTCGCACTGCTATTCAGAGGGACCTTGACAGGCTAGAGAACTGGGCAGAGAGGAACCTCATGGAGTTTAACAAAGGGCAATGCAAAGTCCTCCCCCTGGGGAGGAAAAGACCCATGCGATAGTACATGCTGGGAGTGGGGGGCGCTGGCTGGAGAGCAGCTTTGCAGAGAAGGACCAGGGTCCTGGTGGACAACAAGTTGACCACGAGCCAGCAGTGTGCCCCTGCAGCAAAGAAGGCCAATGGTATCCTGGGCTGCATTAGGCGTCTCCAGCAGGTTGAGGGAGGTGATGCTTCCCCTCTACTCAGCTCTGGCGAGGCCTCACCTGGAGTGCTGTGCACAAGTCTGGGCTCTCCAGTACAAGAGAGATATGGAGCTACTGGAGCGAGTCCAGCAAAGGGCCACATGGAAGATTATGGGCCTGGAGCACCTGTCATGTGAGGAGAGACTGAGAGCTGGGAGTGTTTAGTTTGGAGAGGAGAAGGCTTGGGGGGAATCTTAATCAATGTTTATAAATACCTCACGGGAGGGTGTAAAGAAGATGGAGCTAGACTCTTTTCAGTGGTGCCCATTGACAGGAGAACAGGGAATGGGCACAAATTGAAACACGGGAAATTCTGTTTGAACATAAGAAAACACTGTTTTACTGTGAGGATGGTTGAACACTAGAATATGTTGCCCAAAGAGGTTGTGGAGATATCCAAAACCTGAGTGGACAATGTCCTGGGCAACCTGCTGTAGGTGACTCTGCTTTGAGCGGGGAGGTTGGACTAGAAGATCTCTAGAGGCCCCTTCCAACTTCAACTATTCTGTCATTCTGTGATACTTAAACACGTGTCTGTCCCCACATGCTGGGCAACAGCTATAAATTAAATGGAGACCGGCTGATTCCAGCAAATCCTTGCACTTGACTCCCGATCAGAGTTGATTCTTAAGGAAAACGTTCTTTAAAAGTTTGTGTAGTGTGGCTCCTGTGTCTATCATCCTACCGCAATTGTGTGATATGACATCCCAATGCAAAGTCTCATTGCAGCATGGCATGACAGTGGGGTGATAGCACATCAGCCTGCAAGATATTTGCAAATGTCCTTTGTGGCAGTGCTGCTCTGAGTATGATTTCAATGCGTGACACATAGAGGCTTTAAGTGAGATTGGAGGCTGTTGTGGGCCCACTTTAAGGTGAAGTTAGATGCTGCCCACAGTTAGAGGTGTAATCACAGGCCATATGCAGTGATGTCCAGTCCATATCTACCTCATAAGTTGCCATGATTGACACACAGGCAAATGCTTCATTGTAGTCCACGGTGTATAGAGATTATGGAAAACCACATCAAGATAATGGAAAACGGAAGCCAGGCAAACACTGCACTTGGCAGTTCAAATTCAGATTCAACATGCTTCACCAACCCAGATAGCTTCCATTGGTGGTCTTCTGTAGGCAGTGCACTAGCCAAATCTCTTTGCAGCCCTGGCAGCCTCATGAAGTTTCTTGCTTTTGTCTGCAGCAAAGCACAAGCTTTGGTGAGGCATGGCATAGATGCAAATACGAAAGTTCTTGAGAAAAACCTATTGTAACAAATAAGGTTGATGGAGCTGCTGACAGCATCAGATAACATAGGCAAGTATAGATCAGGATTGAGAGAGGTCTCTGAGCTGAACATCAGGAGTCCAGCTAAAAGTGATGAGGGGGTGACCTGAACAAACAATGACCAGAAAGACAAACTTGGCAGAAAGCATAGTGAATGCTTCTGAGGCAGGACATGTGATACAGTGGTGATTACCAAAGTAGAACTGTGAGGTGAAAAATGGCCCGGACCTTTGAACGTGCTGGCATCTGGGTCTTCAAGACAGCATTTGAAGAGACCGAGGTCAGTGATCCCAAAGTATAGCATTGGCAGAAATGAGACACTGTATAGGCAGAGACCAGCAAGCTGGGCAACACTAAACCATTTTTATTTTGGGCAGGGCAGGTGGAAGTCTGTAAACCCAAGGCACTGTCAACAAAATTAAGAGAGTGCCCAATGGAAAAATATTTTGCAACTATGGCTATTTATTACTTATATTATTTGGTTTGTTCTTAGTTTCTTTCATTTTATAGCAATTCCTATTAGCTGTTCTTGTCCCTACCTTAAGCATCCCAGCCAGCATTTCTGTCAGGAGCATAGGCTCTGATGTCCAGTCCTCTTTTAGAGCTGTAGGTAGATGCAAGGCCAACTCCATTTGTCTTCATGATCACTGCCCTCCAGTCTCCTCTAAATCACCATGTTCTAGAGGTCTTTCAGAAATGGTGAGTCATGGCCTGTATGTGTGAAGACAGACGTGGGGGACAGGAGAGCTCAGGGAGCGGAAGTGCCCTCCTTTCCCCCGGTCTCCCCAGCAGCACAATTAGCCCAGAGCACGTGAAAAGTGAAGTGCGTCTTGCATATGTAGACTCTATGCTTCAGCAACCTTCTGTCTGCAGCCAGCCCTCGCTCCTTCCCTTCTACTACCAGCCAGGGAAAAGGGTGCAGGCAATAGCCTTAGGGATACCAGGCTTATTTAAACTAAGCCCTCATTATGTGGCAGAAAGGAGAGAGAGCGTAAATCAAAGTCAACGCCAAAGCTGTGACTGACTGTGCAAAAAAAAAAAAAAAAAAAAATCATATGACTGCAGCGTCCTCATGTGATTGTTGCTTTTTTGTTGTTATTAAATCAGCTACGTTCCCAGTTGAAATGTCAGGTTTAGAAGCCGTTCACAAGTATTTTTTAAACCGTGTGGGATGCTAATTTTCACTGCACTCCTTTGTTTCCAGGTTGTTGATCCTAGAAGTGAGAAGTGACCTTCAAACACGGTGTTTCAGCACTGAGGGCCTGATCCAAAGTTTTCTGGGGAGCACGGGAGTTTGAACGCTCTTTACCAGTGGGGTTTCGGGAACCTCCAGAGAAAAACTGCTGACAACAAATGTCTGGTAATTAAAAACAAAACATTATCAGCTTAAAAACAATGAAGTCGGTTACGACAGAGTTTTTTGCCATGTTACTTGATACATGAAAACGTTACATAAATATTGAGTGACACTCTGAATAAAGGCCAGCTGGTGGAAATTATTAAAGTGTTGTAAATAGACTTCAAGGGCACTGAGGATCGGGCCTGTGGTTAGAGGAATCCAAAACCACCAGGGCTGGGCTAATCACTAAAAGGTGGCTGTGCGGTAAAGATCCGGTCATTCGCATTCTTCCTCCTCGGCTCTCAGGCTTTAGACTAAACACTCCAGAAGGTTTAAAACAGAAAATGTTTAGATCCGCTTATCCTGTGCATGCGGCCAACAGCATGAGCAAGACAGAAGAAGAGAAAGCCATATAGGAAGGGGAGGAGGAGCTAGGCAAAACAGAGATGTAAAAGGAGTGGAGAGAAGAATAAAAAGCCGTGGAAATGTGTTAGAAGTGGAGACGGAAGAGACCGTCTGAAAACTGAGCTGAGTCCTTGGAGCAGTACTCTATACCCCAGCCTTAGCTAACTTCTCAATTTATGTTTGAAAATGAATGTTTCTGCAGCACTGAAGACTTGCATGAAACTGGCTGATCATCACCAAATCTTAAATTAACTTTGTAGATTTTACATTATAATCTTGGTCTCTGAGAAACAGCTTCGCTGTGAAAAAGAACTGAACTGAACTGTAAAAGAGAAAAGACTCAAATATGCCCTGAACGTTCTTCTAGCAAAGAAACACACATTCAAAGAGATTTAGGGGTTAATATTCTGAAGAAGTGAGTAGGAGGTGTTCAGTACTTCACAGCTTTAGCTCCTCAGTTATTAAAGTTGTTGGAGAGATACACATCTCTGCTACCTGAAGGCCTGTCAGATGACAGGGTGTGAGCAAATCAGGTGCACCTGCGTGTCTAGATTGTGACACAGCTAGCATGTTCTCACTGCTATCACACTTCCATCTCCCCAACACGAGTACAGGAATTGCTAATCACTTCTCATAGGAGCTGTGAAAAAAAAAAAAAAAGGGATTTGAAGAAGGAACTTGATTTTTTGCCCAGATAGCAAACTAAAACAAGACAAGCCCATTTTAGCTAGCCAGGTGCCTTTAGGTAGACACTGTCTGCCATTATCAGTGGTCTTTCGAGGGAACTCTGCTTGAAGCTACACAAATTCCCTTGCTGGGAAGAAATCTGTGTTCACATGTGACTGTAAGCCATCAGCTGACTAAACTGAGACGGTAAACAAAGCTACTTTAGCAGTCTGCAGTCTTTCTTGTTATGCAGAAATCAAGAGTTCCTGATCAGTTCATAGCACCATCCAGCTCAGATTATCAATGAAAAACGAATAAACCCTTGCAACTGGAGAAACAGGATTTTAATAATTTCAGTATCTTCATTTTTTGCTTTTGTGACAGTTAAAGCTACAGCTAGGATTGTACCATTTTATTATGGGACGGCATCTCCATTTGGTCATACTTTTGTCCTGATTTCCTTGTGGGGGTTGATATTTTCCAAGCTTTGCACTTGACCACAGTGAATTATTCTGGAATTGTTCTGCGATAAAAATCATTTTTGGCCTGGTTGT